CACTCACACTCACACTCCCCTCCTTGTGGTGGTGGTAGGCATGCGCAGTGCAGTGCCTTGCCTCCTTGTGGTGGGGGAAAAGGGCTGGGAGGAGGCTTGGCTCCCATGGGGGTGTTAGATAGCTAAATGAATTGAGAGAGAAAAGACTGCAAGGGGTCCCCTAACAATACTAGACCCTCAGTCTGGTTCTGTGACAGTCAACATCTGTCATCTGGTGGTGTGCCTCCCTTTTTCCTTATCAAAGAGAACAATATATTGTAGGTAAATCAAACATACGGAAAGTGTATTTAGGGAAAATTTACAAAAATAGGGAATTCAATGGGTAACCAGTAGTTTAACAACAGAACAATTTAACCTGTACAGTAGTCAGACCCCAAACCCACTAAACAAAATAAGCCTTCGGCTGAGTCTAAATAATAAGGTAAGTATAAGTTTATAGAAACCTTCTGGACAGTTCCCAGACGGTCGCTCAGGTCCTCATATCTCCTGGTTCTTGGAGAGCCTTGAGAGAGGAACACTGAGGAGACCCTTCGTAGTTTTCCCCATTTCAGCTGGTAAGTAATTGGCAAGGTTGCTGGCTGTGGGCATATGGGGAGGCTTCTGTATGGCTGCAGCTATCTGGTCTGGAGTCTAAATGACCTGGAAGGAAAACCTCACGGAACCTGCCACTAGGATGGGCAGTCCCGAGCTGTTCGGCTGCCAGCCTTTTATGCAGTCAAAGGCGGGAAACCTCTGTGAGGGAGACCCCCGTAGAGTTTGCCCATACAGAGAAAACCTGTATGAACTTCTGAGGTAATTCTGGTTTTGACTGGAACTTGTTTACCTCTCTGCTGCAAAAAGGCGGAAAAACTTTGGCCTGTCAGACCAGTGTCATGGGACTGATCTTCCATTTTGTTTTCAAAATGGATACCCTCTACTACCTTTACCTTACAAACCAAACATTACTAACCTAGGATTTTTACCCTTAACAGGGATGGGCCTCAGCAGAAGGAATGGTGCTGGAGGCTTGCCTTCACCGACTACCCCTGCCCTCTATTGTTAAAATGCAAATAAATGAGGGAATGAAGAAAGAAATAAACTGATATTGGACAGAAAAAGGAAGCTGATGTTAACAGCTTGAAATATTCCTAAATATGTTCATATTCCTGTATTTGAAAGAGTTTTATCTGTGCTTGAAATTTAGATTAGTCATACAGAATTATGGCATTGGCTGTAGCCCGAGGAATCAGGTTATGAAAAATGATTGGTAGTATGTGTGTTAGTAATTCATGGTGGTTTTACTTCTCGTATTAGCCTATAAAGAGGCTATGTAGAATAGACTTTTTCTGGGAGTAGTTCCATGAAAAATTCCAAAACAAGGTTGCAATGTTTACATTTAACATAAATTTGTATCCATAAATAAGAGAGGTCATCTCAGCAGGAGAACTACAGTATAGCTGAGGCCTTTCTGAAGAATAAGTTGAAATAAGTTTCCCATCAAAGAAAAAAACTGAACTATTTTTTAAAGTGTAAATGGGAAACTGTCAAAGAAGTTTCAAGCATTCTATAAGGAAATTAAAATTTCCCTTACTGAAGACAAGGCTGAACAATAATTTCTTATCCGAAGAGATTTATTTTCACACCAAACCTGACTATACAAAGTCATCTGAGACACTTAAATATGTCTATAATGCAGTTCAAAACCCATTTGCATTGGGCTTGAACTAAGAGCTGTTTAATTGCAGTGCAGATGTTTGAGCTCATGCTGGATCCTATGCTCTCAGACCCTGTACAGTGGGAGGGTCTCATAGCTCGGATTCCAGACCAAGCCTAAATATCTACATCACCATTAAAGAGCCTCTTAGCCTAAGCCAGCTGGCATGGGACAACTGCAGGTATCTAATTGCAGTGTAAGCATACCTTTAAAGTCTGGCTTTGGCCATGGAGATTTACACCATAATATTAGTTCATTAAATAGGTATGGGCAGTGGTACACATAAGCTTGAGACATACAGGGTAAGCAATGTAGAAGAAAGTGAGATGCACAGTGACTGAGAAAAGCCACTTAATGACCCCAACTTCCTGACTGTAACAGCCTCCACAAGATGCCAAAAGCTGTGACTGGATCAACTGACTTTAATGTTACTGCTAGCAGTATGTTTATACATCAGTAACACTGGAGAAAGAACCTTTCATCCACATCATAATGGCACTGGTGAAATTTAAATAAAAGGTCAAATATAAGGAACGTACAAAAGCTATTGAAGACCTACCTCGGTGAACAAGTACAATAAATAGTATTACAGTTAAATATGTTGTTTTTCAGAAGGATTAAAAATGAGTCTGAAAATCTTATTTACTAAAACTGATTCTCAAAGCCACATGTCAAACAACCTGCCTATTAGATTTGAAGGACTAATCATTCACCCATTTATTTCAGGCTGGCAAAGGGGTCTGTGAATTCTGAATCACCTGATGTCATCCAGCCCAGATGACTGACTAGAGTAAGTACAGATTACCAAAACGAAATACAAGACCACTTATGAAGTAGGATACTAAAAGAAGGCCTAACAGCACCAGCTCTAAAAACCAAGGTCTTGATCCTGTAATTAAAGCCATGATGGCAGATCCTCATCCCTGTGTGGAGCCCCACCGAAGTCCCCAAGGTCTGCCTGCACAAATATAAATGCAAGATCAGGAACCAAAGGAGCTACACAAATCTACTCCTGTAAAAGGTGTGGGTCACTATTCATATTCTCAAGGAAATAGAGAATCTGTTTAAAACAATAGGAAAAAGTAGCATATATACTGATGCCCTACAGTTTAAGTGTGTGAAGAAGAGATGTTAGCCTTTTCATAGCTATGGTTCAAGCTAAGTTTTTGTTCAAATCTAGTTTTACGTTGGTTCCTAACATCAAACCCAAATCTATCTACTCCAAGTTTCATGGCATGAACTTATCTGAGGGTAGAATTTTACTGAAAATTCTGAGAAACTGAACAAGGGCATCTGGGAGATGTAAGGTTTCAAAATAAATGAGATGATCTCATTTTGACCCATTTCCCAACTGTTGATTCATCACAGCTCTAAAACAGCTCAGTCTAGAAACCCTAAACTTGTGTTTGTTGATCTTGGTGAGAATCCTCAAATAATTCTGCCAACAAATTAGTTAAGTAAAAACAATGTATGCATCCTTATACTGCCAAATACCTAAAATTTGTGTTGGACATCTCACTACACAAAAAATAACGCACAGTCCCTGCCCCATAGAGCATACAAACTAAAGCTATGTCTACACTGGGAAGGTTTGGTGACAAAAGTGCTGCTAATATGCAAAAGGTGCCAAAAGTGAAAACTGATCAAACCAGTTTTTCTGCCTCCCATGCACATGTTGCTAACATACTGTGGACAGAGAAGAGCAAAGCATCCTGCAGTGCAATGTTGTGGGAAGACAGAGCTGATCCCTGCACTTCTTGGGATTCCAGTCAGCCAGTTTTCTCAACAAAACAAACAGAGTACACATTGGCTCTTTGTTGACAATAAAGAAAGAGGAAGGTTTTCCAGAAGTGCACTGAGGAGGAGAGGGTTGGAATTCTGTCCATAACTGAGGGCATCAAAGGAGGAACTCAGGGGAATTGGGCTGCGCACGCTAACTTCAAAGGTGGGAACACCAGTCGCGCATGCGCAGCCTGACTGTACACTGCTCTAAAAGTCTCCGATCCGTGGCACCGGGATGAGCCTTACACTAAGTGGAGCACCCAAGGGGACATTATTCGAAGAACAAGGGATTTTAAAGCTGACGTTGCATTAAAAATAATTCCAGACACAGCAAATATGGAGAGGCAATTAAGGACACTCACTCTTTAGCTAACTAGACTCCCTTTCTCATGTTAGTTTGTACACTACTGTCACATTTGAACCAGAAATTGTCAACTGTGTCTTAGTGGACCAGCTTTGGGGCACAGCAATCTGGTGACAAATATGAACAACTGCTGCACTAGATGTTTTCCAGCAGCAAAAGCAGCGAGGAGTCCTGTGGCACCTTATAGACTAACTGAAGTGTAGGAGCATAAGCATACACTTCAGTTAGTCTATAAGGTGCCACAGGACTCCTCGCTGCTTTTGCTGCTGGAAAACATCTAGTGGTTTTCTAACTATTGTGGTGGGCAATGTGTCATTTTACAGAAAAGGTAATCTAAGGTCATCTCCCCTCTAAATAGGCTTCCTTTTCTCTCTTCTCCCTAGGAACACTTTCCCCTGGACATCTGACCGTCCTCTTCCCTGCTTGCTTCTCTTCTCACAAGCAGCTTTAGTCAGTTTAGCATGTTGTTCCTTCTGTTTGCAGTTCCAGTTCTTTCTTCTATGTAGTAGCTGCCTCTTGTGGAAACAGGCTGACTTCTTGTTTCCAGATGTTTTACAGGCTTCTAGGTTCCTCTCTGCAAGGAGCCTACGTGCTTGTTTGTGCAGTAGCAGCTGGAAGGAAGGCAAACATGACAGCACTGCATAGCCTACCAGCTTTCTGATCACCAGATGTCTTAAGCCCCAGTGCACCTTCCTTTACAGCAAACTACTACTGCCTTCTTTGTTTATATGCAAATACTAGGAAGACTGCCTTTTACGGCCACTTTTGATAAAAAACGACATTAGCCAGAACAATCATGTAGGACTATTCCCTGACCATATACAAGTGTAATAGTATTGCAACACAGATTTGTATAGCTTAACATAGAATTACCAGGCTCAGGGCTGCAAGCCTTTTTAAGTACCAGACCCAATATAAAGTTTATGTGCCTAGGCACAAGAAATTATATTTGCACATAAGACATTTTACATATAACCATGGGCTCCAGGGTCAACTATACTGGTAAATATATGATTTTTGGTGGACTCTGCGCCTGCAACTGTAGTCGAATAATTTCTTGACATTCATACCAAATCCTTCTTATCAATTCTGCCTAAAATTGTTTACACAGGAATTAACTTCTAGTGATATGATGATGAATAAAGGAAAATCATTCCTTAGATAAAGTATTTATGAATCCGAAATTCATACATGCAGAGGGATGTTACTATTTTAAAAAACAATATTAATATGAAATTTTCTAATAAAAAGATTTTAACTCACACGAAGAATTTAACAGATTATAGTGGTGACTGCTGAAAAGTGATATTCTTGCCGTGAGGGATCTGTAGGTCTTTACAGAAAAGTGCTGCTTTCAGTCACCAGATCTACTTATTTTTCTTCAGTTAATGCTACCATACCAGATCAGACTGCAGTTCTAGAAATGAAAACCAAGCCTAAGTAATACTGCTGCAATTCTGAAAAGTCTGAAATATTAACCATGATGAGTATATATCTCAATATCATGATTGTATGATGCTTAAATTATGGCTGTTTCTTAAAAACTAGACTTTCTCTAGAGTACAAAGGTGGTATTCAATGTTCATTGTCAGTATTACTTTCTAGTTGTCGGAATTACTTTCTAGTTTTGGTATTCACTGCAGCAATGGTTCTCAACCCTTTTGGCTCAAGACCCATTTGTAAACCTGACAACCAGCAATTGCCCCCACCAACACATCCCAGACTTGATGCCTTCATCTCCTGATGTCTGGGGGAAGGACAGGGGCTTACAGCTGGCATTCCAGATACTCCAGCCAGATGTGAATAGCTGGGGAAACTTCACCAACTGGGGAAGGGTAAAGGGGGAGAGCAAGTCAAAACACCTTCCCTCCCACCCCGAAAAAAATCACTCAGCTCTCCCTCTCTTGGCCCCTGAGGGACAGATAGTAAGGGGCTGGGGAAAATTTGGGGACCTGCAAAAAAAAGTGGAGAGATTGAGGGCAGAGGAGTCCAGGGGACTGGGAAGTGAGCCACTAACTCCCAGAAACTACAGTTTCTCCCCACATATCTCACTCAGGAGAATACAAGTTAAAGGGATGGGGTGATTTGAGGTTCCTGGGGACCAGTACAGGGCAACGGCAGAGAGGAAGTTGCCTGGCTATGGCGGAAGGGGTACATCTAAGGGCCATTATTTACTGGAAAACACCACCAGCTACTCCTTCCCAGCTCCTTTTCCGTGGGGTCAGCTGGGCTTGGCTCCCCATTGCAAGCACTGCCTCCCGGGTCACAGCACCATCGTGGCACCCCTGACAGATGGAGAGGAGGCAGAAGCTTGTACATCAGGTTACAATGCCCAGAGCAAGGAGTACAGCCTGGCCATCTTTTGCTGCATTCTGGCAACTCATTTTCAGGTTGTGACCCATCAATAGTGCATGCAGCAAACCCTCATTCATTTAGTTTAAAATGGTTAAGAAAAGCCCTGAAAGCAATGTTATATGAAATTACATGTTAACTATACTAGTAAATTCCAGTCGCTTTATTAAATGTGGCACCATTTACGTGTGTGGAAAATGGTTACAAAAGGGGTACAAGTACTTTGATTTAAAATGGTCTCTAGTGCATTAATGTGGTAGGGAGTGTGCACATCACTTTTTAAGCCTTGGTTTCATTGCTTTGGCACCTCCTTTGCTTAGCACTGTTTGTCACCTGCTGGCCCAGTCTGTCTTGCTTTCTGACCTTTACCCTGGATAAGGCTAGGTCTAAGAAGCAATATGTGAAAGCTGATGTCTGGATGCTCTTCATCCATTGGTCAGGTGGAAGATTGCAGAGGGATGTAAAAGAGAGAATGCCCAGTGGAACTATATAGGTCAGCATAAGGTTTAGGGCACAGTGGAAGCAGGAGGAAAGTTTCTCCATTGCACCTTAAGTAGAAACTAAGTTTTTACAATATTCTTCCAATTATTTACCACAAGCAAGTTTCAGCGGCAGCTATCGTGCTTGATTGCTAAAGGTCCTTTTCCCACCATTGTTCACCAAACTGTTTTCATTATTAATCTTTAAAGAGTCCAACAGGTTCTTGATTCGTTCACTTGTTGGTCCCCTCTTTCTCCTCTTGCTCTTGACACTGTTACTTGTTACAGATGGCAGCAGTAGGGCTGCCAGTCCCCAAGGCTGGCTATTACTTAATGAAGAATGACCTTTATCTTCCTGCTGTAAAATCCAGGCACACTCTCTGGCCAAAGCTACAAATCTATCCAGCTGGCTTTGATTAACATTCTTGCTCACATTGAGGGTCTGTTCAAAGGGGTTCTGAATGTAGAGAGGAGAAGGCTCAGGCTTATTTTGCACCTTTCCCTGCAGATATTTCAAAGATAGGAAAGACATATTTCACATGGGTATTATGCACACAGCAGACAGAACAGTTCAGCTAAGTTATTACAGCAATATTAACTACTATCACTTTAATTGCAAAGGTGTTTTGACCTATTAAGGAATTTATTTCATAAAAAGGAAAGCAGATATTCATCAACTTAAATAACCTGTCAATGTAACCATGTCATTTCCACTATTTGCATTCTTTCAATGTCTATTTCTTGCTCACCACAGCACATTTAAATGTCTCATTATGTCTTATGCAATTATATTGTTATTTTGACAAAAACAGAATCTGAAAATAGTGTGTGCAGAATTCCCTGAGTAAAATTCATATGCCAGAATAGTTCTCTAAGCAGACACAAAACACTGTTAACTGTCACAGTTACTAACCAGATTTTACTCATTTTGTGTTGACACAACCTGTGGTGAACAGTAATGCCAGTAAATAGTTTCAAACTCAGATTGGATGGCATCTATACTCTGGGTTCCCAACCCAGATCAGTTATTTAAAACTGCAAAGCCTTTTGGGATACACTGTTTGTATGAAGATCAAAAAATGTTGGATTTTGTTGTACAGTCTAAGTTTTAAAAAAACAGCTCTCCAATCAGAGAAGTGGGATAAAGGCAGCAGCTATTACTACCTTTCGTGTAACAGAACATTAAACTGGGAAGCTGCGAAGGCTTATAGTTAATGCTTTACAATACAAAAATAATTAGTGCAGAAACACTATCAAGAAGTAGGTGTTCAGTGGTTTTGCTTTCTTCTGCAGCATTCTTTGAGACTGTCAGCTTCAAACTAGTTTTATGGACAAGATCAATTTACAGGCATTCTGTATAATTTCTGCAACTGCAAAGTGTGCTACAAATTGCAAAATACAAAATGTTTCCTGAATGATACAATTTATTTATGATCATTAATCTTTTATGATAATGAAGAAATGTACATTCAATAGATAATCACATCTTAGTACGGTCTATGGATAAGGACAGCAGAATTTGGCCCTTTATGCAAAAGGGCATAATTTGTATCTCTCTTACATAGCGAGAGCTGTAACAGTTAAAGAGTAATGGGGAGAGATCAAAATGCATTTACCTTTCTAATATTTATAGAGTTTTTATTGAAAGCAAAATTCCCAAAATATTCAAAGAAGTCACCCAGCAGCACATCTGAAATGAAAAAGGTAAAATCAAGAAAGGGATATGGCTTTCACAGAAATAGAAGACACTGAATGAAGATTTCGCTTACCTAACGTTTCTGTATTTTCTGTAGGCTTAATTTTGTTCAAATTGCTAGCAAAGGTACAGTCATTACCTTGGATTATGTGCTTATCTTCTGAATCTGAAATGACAAGTAGTGAAAAATGTGATTAAATGTGATATACAGTTAAAAAGTCTACCATATTTATTAAGCATAACTCAGACATCCTCTTCAAAAAGAAAGCTATTCCTACAATCATTGCAATTGGATACAGAAGGTAAATTACTGTTTACAATTAATTATGTAAAGTGATTAAATTTATGGATGGGGGAAGTAGAGTGTTTAGGACTAAACAGGAGAGTTTCAAAAGCACAAATGAGTAAATGCATGACTCCTATTTGTTCTATTGAAAATCAGCCACTACAACACCTAGGCTGTGTCCAGACTCAGGGGGTTTTTCGGGAAAAGTAGCCTTTTCCCGAAAAAACTTCCCCTGCGACCAGACTCAAGCCGCGTTCTTTCGAAATTATTTCGAAAGAACGCGGCTTTTCTTTCGATGGCGGTAAACCTCGTTTCACGAGGAAGAACACCTTCTTTCGAAAGTTCCTCTTTCGAAAGAAGGCGTTCTTCAATGTAAATAGGGCTTCCTCGAAAGAGAGCATCCAGACTCGCTGGGTGCTCTCTTTCGAAAAAGCGGATTGCTCTTTCGAAAGATCCGCCTGCAGTCTAGACGCGATCTTTCGAAAGAGGCTCTTTCGAAAGATGCTTTCGAAAGAGCCTCTTTCGAAAGAAGCCTGCAGTCTAGACATAGCCTTACAGAAGGAGGCTTCACTTTTGGCATATGCCATCACTGATCAGTGGGGGTTACAAACACAAGTAAGAACTGAATGATCAGTATACATCCTCTTTGGATACTGTCGAAACGAGCGTCACATTCAGTAAAAGGTATGGAGAATAGTTTATTTAGACATGCTGCAGCATAGTGAGAACCCACCAAAGTGTGTTCTACCTTAGAATACAACTACAACTCCTCTTATAGTAGGAGCTACATAAGAAACTATCACTCTGCGCATGCTTGTTACTGGGCAAACTTTCAGCATAATTACATTCTCTTTGATGATAAAATGTTTCACACTCTCACACTTTCAAACTACGTGACCTTCTTGCCTACATGAAATGGCAGCTATTTACAGGATGGATTCCACAATACTTATCACAGTGAATTGGGATTTTCAAGTAATAGTCCAAGACACCTATTGCACTGACACTGTGGTAATTCCACATTTGAAATTTCAAAGGGAATTAAAAATAAAGCTTGTTGGTAACAGTTTTTAAACTAAGAGATGGGGGAAAGCTGATTGGTGTGGAGAAGCATATAAATCAGATGGAGACTTCTCTTACAGGAAAATCCATTGATAGAGATTCTCTAAGCTGTAGTCAGAAAGAGAGGAGGGGAGAGGACAAACCATGGGCTAGAGCAGACAAACAACCGCATATAAAGGAATACAATGCATCAGGGAAGGGCAAACAAATAAACAGTGGCAAATTTTTAAAGTGCTTCTACACGAATGCTAGGAGTCTGACTAAGAAGATGGGTGAACTAGAGTACCTCGTATTAAAGGAGGAGATTGACATAGTAGGCATCACTGAAACCTGGTGGAATGAGGAAAATCTGTGGGACACAATAATACCAGGATATAAAATATATTGGAAGGACAAAGCAGGTCGTGCGGGTGGTGGAGTGACACTGTACGTGAAAGATAATGTAGAATCAAATGAAATAAAAATATTAAATGGATCAACATGTTCAATAGAATCGCTATGGATAGTAATTTCATGCTCCGATAATAATAATTTAGCAGTAGGGATATATTATCGACCATCTGACCAGGACAGTGACACTGACGTTGAAATGCTGAGGAAGATTAGAGCGGCTACCAAAATAAAGAACTCTATAATAATGGGGGATTTTAATTATCCCCTTATTGACTGGGTACATGTTACCTCAGGAAGAGAATGGCTCAAATGACTCAATGGCTTAAATGACTGCTTCTTGGAGCAGCTGGCACAGGAACCCACAAGGGGAGAGGCAATTCTCGATTTAGTCCTGAGTGGAGCACAGGATCAGGTCCAGGAGATAACCGTTACAGGACTGCTTGGGAATAGTGACCATAATATAATAACATTTAACATTCCTGGGGTGGGAAGAACACCTCAACAGTCCAGCACACTGGCATTTAATTTCAAAAAGGGATATTACACAAAAATGAGGAGGTTAGTTAAACAGAAATTAAAAGGCACAGTGACTAGAGACAAAACCCTGCAAGCTGCATGGAAACTTTTTAAAGACAGGAAGAACACCTCAACAGTCCAGCACACTGGCATTTAATTTCAAAAAGGGATATTACACAAAAATGAGGAGGTTAGTTAAACAGAAATTAAAAGGCACAGTGACTAGAGACAAAACCCTGCAAGCTGCATGGAAACTTTTTAAAGACATCATAATAGAGGCCCAACTTAAATGTATACCCCAAATTAGAAAACACAGTAAGAGACCTAAAAAAAGAGTCATCGTGGCTTAACCATCATGTAAAAGAAGCAGTGAGGGACAAAAAGGCATATTTCAAGAAGTGGAAGTCCAATCCTAGTGAGATAAATAGAAAGGAACATAAACACTGTTAAATTAAGTGTAAAAATGTAATAAGCAAAAAAAGATTGAGGAACAGCTAGCCAAAAACTCACTAAGAAATAGCAAAATGTTTTTAAGTACATTAGAAGCAGGAAGCCTGCTAAAAAACCAGTGGGTCCCCTAGATGATCAAGATATAAAAGGAGCAAACAAGGACGATAAAGCCATCGTGGAGAAACTAAATGATTTCTTTGCTTCAGTCTTCACAGCTGAGGATGTTAGGGAGATTCCCAAATCTGCACCGTCCTTTGTGGGTGATAAATCTGAGGAACTGTCCTGGATTGAAGTGTCATTAGAGGAGGTTTTGGAACAAATAGAGAAACTTAATGTTAACAAATCACCGGGACTGGATGGCATTCATCCAAGGATTCTAAAAGAACTCAAATGGGAAACTGCTGAACTATTATCTGTGGTTTGTAACCTATCCTTTAAATCGGCTTCCGTACCTAATGACTGGAAGGTAGCTAACGTGACACCAATATTTTAAAAGGGCTCTACAGGTGATCCTGGCAATTACAGACTGGTAAGTCTAACTTCAGTACCGGGCAAATTAGTCAAAACAACAGTAAAGAATAAAATTGTCAGGCACGTAGAAGAACATAATTTGTTGGAAAAAAGTCAGCATGGTTTCTGTAAAGGGAAATCATGTCTTATTAATCTATTAGAGTTCTTTGAAGGAGTTAACAAACATGAAGATAAGGGGGATCCAGTAGATATAGTATACTTAGATTTTCAGAAAGCCTTTGACAAGGTCCCTCACCAAAGGCTCTTGTGTAAATTACATTGTCATGGGATAAGAGGGAAGGTCCTTTC